CAGGATCCTGCATCCCAAAAACATTTAGACATTTCACCCCAGAATATTTATCTTTGGGATGAGGAAGAACCAGAAAATGCAGTAGACTTGAACCCTCTTATAGACACCCCAGTAGAAATTAATTTTGATGAATTTCTACAAACAGAAACAGAAATACCTCTATCTGCAGAAGAACCTACCCCTGCAGAAGTTACTATAGAAAACCATCCTAATACCAATGATCTTACCTTATTGGTAAATGATCTGAAACAGACACCTGCTCCATCAACCCGGACTATAACTAATCCTTTTGCCAGAGGAACATGGAAAGACCAAGTAGACCGAATCTTGAAGTTCTTATCAAAACCAGGCCAGACACGAGTTAGCCTCAATAAAAAGATTGAAGCCTACTACTACTTAGGATTATTAATTTCTAAGTCCAATGATCCTTTAGAAATTAAGATCTTTATCCAAAAAGCTCAATCCGAAAGAAAAGCCAAGGATACTTGGAAAGGTGCTCTTAGAATTTATGAACTCCTTATGCTATGGCCCAAAGAAATTATTTTGCAACTTTGATATACTACTGCTACTCGTATTATCAAGTTGCCAGACCAGGATTATACTCAATTGGTTAGTCTAGTTAGGGTATAGAATTTACCGTATAAGCGCGAAATAACGCCCACGGGCGTTATTTTGAAAATCGCATACCCCTAAAATAGTATATGTAGTTTCAAATTAACGCCCATGCGCGTCCCGAATTAACGCGCACCCCAATATAGCTAGTAATTTATTCATGTGAAATAATATGATTCACGCCTATAAGTATATTAAGCACGTACCCAGCGTTGTGCCCTGGATTGTAATTTGTAAGCGTAGATCAGCTTCGGGCACAACGTAGGTTGTTCGGGATAGTTGAATATTAAGGAAAGCATAATCATTAAAGGTATTCTAGTCATCTAACTATCCTCCCACTTTATTAATAGAGATCACTTTTATACATTTCAACATTCCCACTCTACACCCGATTTAGTTATAATACATTATTTATTAATCGAAGAAATTCAATTACGATAATGTACCCATACGATTATGATGTAACAATGACATATTAACAAAAAAATTCGCATGGAAGGTCATAGCAGATAAGCCACCACCGGGTAAGCTAATTATTCGATATTATCAAACTACACTTTGTTCAATTTCAATTTTTGATCAAGCATTACGATATTCAACTAGTTTATTTGCATCCCATGTGCCCATTCAACTGATAAGCGACAAAAAAAAAATTAAAATGAAAATTTGAAAAAAAATTAAAAAAAACTCCCAAAAAAAATGAGAGAAAAAAAAAAAAATTATAACCAATGCCTTGCCGATTACACGACGAGCTATCAATAAATAAAATAAGTATTAATTTGTTTAGGTTTTTTTTTCTTCTTTCACTAATTTAGCAATCTTCATTACCTTATCAATCATAAATGTCCATGTCCATCATATCTCCGGAATTATAAATGTCCATCATATCTTCGGGATCAAAATCCGGCACATTCTCGACGTCAAGTTCTTCATCATCATAATCAGGATTCGATTCATTATCTACATCATCCTGATTATCTTCTACCTCGGAAAAACTCACTTCATCCATACGGTTTGCGACAATGGCTTGAAGACGGCTCGACATCTTGTCATCTTCGCTGCCATCGGGGTTAAGCGTAAGCCCAGCGGCTTCAAAAGACTTGGCCAAAAGATTTGGACTGACTTCTCTCCACGTTTCAGATACCCATTCACTAACCAATTCGTATGATGCTTTTTTGCGGTTTCCTTTTTTAGTAAACCCACCTTCACCTTCGTCCATCCATTTTTCCCACCTTCGCATCATGCCATTTTTAAAAGGCTTGTTTACTGAAACATCGGGCGGTTGCAAAACGCAGGTCGTTCCGCCGGGTATCTCCAAGACATCCAAGCCTTCCTAAACAATAAAAAAAAACCTTAATTCAAAAAAACATTCTAACTAGTGTTGGTCATCTCTATATTGTACTGGAATTGGACTTGTATGTTCAATTGAAATTCATAAGTTAAAAATGATATTTTTTTTTTTTGAAAAAAAATTCTAACCATACCATATTTAATGCTTTAACCACATCATCACGGATATGACTACCATGACGATCAACGAAGATTACACCTTTATTCTTAAAGAACCCATTCGGTCTGGCTCGAATAACTCGTGGAATATAAGTGGAGATCATCAAATCTCCTACCATATTTGCGCAAGGTGCCGTTGTTACCACAACGTCTCGTGGAAACCTACCCTTTGGTGTTTTTTTTAACTTGAAAATTATAGCAGGGGTGAGTTTTTCTCCAGATGCAGTATAGCCCAAGACTACTGTAAAACGTAATTTATCGTTTCCTGTAGTTTTAATTGGCACTTCACGAACGCCTACAAAATCGATTGTTCTATTTCGGGGCATATCGAACCACATTGGTGTTTCATCAAAAGAAATGATAAATTTTTTTTCAATGTTTTTTGTTTTCTCGCGCGAAATTTGAAGAAAGTTTTTAACAATTAAGGGCAAATCTTCTGGAAGCTTCTGTGCGAGTTGTGTCCGAACGCGTTCCACCAGCTTATGCCTTCGCTTAAACCGTTCAACCCACCCACAGGAGAACTTTGCATCTTGAATATTTAGTGTATTTCCTAATTCTTTTGCTTTTTTGTGAATCATTGAAGTAGAAACCACCATCCTTTCTTCCCATTTTTTCTGAATATAATCTAATAATTCTTTTTCAACTGTGGGATACTTGGCTTTTTGACCACGACCAGCAAGAACTCGCACCTTATTAATATTTAAGTTTTGGTCATTTTTGACAGCCTCAAGTTCTTTTTTTTGCTTTCTCCATTCTTGGACGCGTTTCCGGTCAACTTTATGAAACAAGGATGCTTTACGATTAGACGTTTGTTCAGCATATGATATTACTTCAAGCTTGAATGAAATGGTATAGCCTCGTTTATTTCCCATGGTTTGCAAGTAAAATTTGAACGTGAAGTAAAAAAAAACAAATTCATATTTGCTTACCAGGGTATTATTTTAATAGCGGTTTCGTGGTACAAAAATTCTAAGAGAAAATTAACCCGCGAGCCGTTGAAACCACCGTGGTGGTTCCAGAGCCGATGTCCTACTCCAGCAGGTTAATTTTTGCTAGCGGTTTTGTGGTACAATAAAGTATTTTTCGAAAAAAAAAAAAAGGAACAAATTAACCAACGAGTCGTTGAAGCCATAATAGCTCCAGAGCCGTTGTCCTACTCAAGAAGGTTAATTGTCGCCTTAAAACTGGTATGAAAAGTCCTTATTTTTGTTCTTTTTAATTTTTTTTTTTCTCTTTTAGCCTGCAAAAAAAATGGGATCAATGCCGTTAAGGAATGTAATATTTTTTCTTAAAGAAAAAAAGTAAGAGGCATTTGTTAGTGTTTTTTATTGTTCACAATAGATAAGCCTTGAAATTCAAAGAACCAAAAGAGAAAAATATATATATATAAAAAAAAAAAGTCCAGAAAAAATCCGGAAAAAAAAAAATTAAAAATTTAGCACCTCAATTGAAAGAAGTACTATTGCCATATTTATGTACAAAAAAATAAAATAAAATAAAATAAAAAATAGCCCCAAAGCGTCAATACCGGTAATTTTTTTTCTTTGTTATACCGGCTTACGTACTAACTTGATAAAGAACAATAATTATGAAAATCATTGTTATTGTTACCGGTACTATGTATCAGCACTACTATATAAGACACATGCGCATTATTTTAAAAAAGGTTAGCTTTGGAAAATCGATTCTTGTTTCGAAATATCGCACATGCGCGTACTCAAAATAACGCGCAGGTCGATTAATTAACGCGCAGGTGGGCGTTATTTCGCGCTTGGACGGTACAGAGTAAAATTCTTAAAGGGGACGGAAATGTTATAGAACGAATTAGTTATTATTTCATTATTTTATTAATTATTATCTTAGAATATTATTATCTTATTATTAACATGTTGCTTAGTCGCTTAGTCGCTCAGTCGCTTAGTCGCTTAGTTGCTTAATCACTTAGTCGCTTAATCGCTTAGTCGCTTAGTCGCTCAGTCGCTCAGTCGCTTAGTCGCTTAGTCGCTTAACTATATAGTCGCTTAGTCGCTTAGTCGCTTAGTTGCTTAGTCG